AGACTTGTTAAGCATTGCTTTTTTACCCGTAATACACCATTGTTCCCGTGTACTTGCCAGGTGGTAACGGCCACCGCAGTGCAGTCGCCCATGGTAAAAATCAGAAGCTACCAAGGTCCTAAGGAAGAGGGGATCTGCAGCGTGCGACTGTCTCTTCCCAAGATTGTTGACTTAGTGACCACCATGCATCGAGGATTGTACATTAGTGAATGCATTACGACACAAGAAATTTGATTGCATCTCGAGGTAGAAGACGATATTTAACTCGACGACTTTTTCCCAGCTAGATCCGATAAACTAGGAAAGCTCAAGAAGCGGGATGAAGGAACAAGCAACTGTGTAGACCGATTTTGATAGAAGTACGTAATCCTGCTTTTGCGCAATAAAAAATCAATATGGGCCGTCAATTGGTAAAATGTAAACCAAAGGTTCGAAGTAGGTTTCAATCCCTCATCATCATCGGAAAGGTTTGCATAGCTCAAGTCAAATTGCTTTATGCAACCATGAAAGGTGAATATTCAGATTTAACACACACGTCACGGACATGGATGAAATAATGAAAACCAATAGTACAAAAAGTTGACAGAGAAAAATGCCGCTTGAGTAATATACGAACCAGTTCTCGAATGACAGAATTTTTATCCTTCAAAAAACATGACAGGCAAGGAACTACTGATGTACATAGTTTTGTAAATCTGCCTGGTTGAGGAGGTTGATACGCATTCGGAAGACGATCGTGACACTTCAGCGTCGGAGTTGAGGCTTCTCGGATGTTGTCGCCGAAACCACGGTGCGCTACCTGTAACTGCTGTTGAATTTGATGATTGAGGGGCAACACTCATTAGACACGTACTTTGATAAATTCTGTTGCCTTCGCGATAAGGTATGACACAGCCAGACACTGCTTACACAAACAAAACATGTTTGTTTTCCATACAAAAGCGTGCGTACAGGAGGTTCGGAACACATTTCCAATTAAGATGTTTATACCGCACTGAGGAAACGATCCTCCGAATCACAATACAGTGAAATTGCTCAATGGACCATATCGAGAGGCTCCAATAGATGTTTTCCCCAACTGACTTTTCAGTTTTCACTAACGACCGATCGATGTAAAGCGAGTGCATAACGATCTACATTAAGGTCCGTTTCGGCAGATTTTCTTGACCACTGCTGCAACAACTTCTAAGGAAAAATAGGATGGGCGTAAAAGTGAAAACCAATAGTGTCAAAAGCTAACATACGGCTATGAAAGCTGAAAGCCGTTTGCAAGCAAGCCGTTTGCGTATCGAAGAGGTTGTTAGCATTATTTTTTGTGATGGATTCTCCGAGTTGAGCAAATTGATTGCAGACGTTTCACCATTAATCGAGGTGGCATTCTTAGTGCGTAATGGCAAGTAGTTTGTTAGCAGATAATGAGCCTCGAGCAAATCCAGAGACAATAACAGCTGCAGCTGAAAAAGTGCTTGCAGCCGAAGTGATGTAGCAGACTTGGCCAAACAACCCCACCTCATCAAGCACCCTTTCTCTGCCCTCTCTATCAGCTCAAATGCAACTATCCTATCTTGTCAAGGCGATGTCTAGGGGAGCTCAAAAAACAAAGTCAAGTAAGAATAACGGATCGTGCTCTGTCACAAGTACTGTTAACGACACACCGAGCACCTCATATTGCTGTCAAAAATCCTCATCGGGGTTATAATGCCTGATAGTTGGAGATCGGTAACAATAACGCTGGTGCCAAAAGAATGGAATGCGCACTGCTGACGATTCGCGGAAGGATGAAACGCGCGTACAGTGCTTTTCCGGACGTGTGACGGCTGTCTGAGTGAGTATAGATGGGATGGATTTCTACCTATACCATATAACTCCTCCTACTAGTCCTCTGTGAAGAAAATACCTCTGCGCTGTCGAATTCTCGCTGCTACTCGGACTAATGGTGTTTAACTGACCGTTTGCAGACCTTAGCGCTCCGCAGCAGATGTTGGTTCGTACCTTGTGTGCCTGCATTGTACGAAAAAAGCAGATCCCTATAGTTGGTCTTCATCGACTAGGCAAATGCATTCTGCAGTCTCTCAGGTCGCCACCGCTCAGTTTGCTTGGATGCAAACATATTGCTGACCACATTTATTTCACTCAGTTAAGTAGTAAACAGCCCTGTACTCTGTGCCAACTGCAGTGACTTGCAAGGAGCAATCCTACCTCGTTTCCACTGTATATGCAAAGTCTTCTACTGCAAGCAAATATGCACGCAATGTTATTTCAGAGTGCACAGCTCCGTCGTTCAGTTGAACTGAACTGGCACAGCCCCAGACCATTGGGGCGTCTGCAATTTTCCAGCATGGAGATGAATGGCAGGTATCAGGTATACCTAGTCTACTCACAGCAATGTTCTGTCATCAAACAAGCACTCGCACAATGACGGTGCTATCCGTATCTCTCCAGATGAAAGTGTGCTTAGACATTGCCCCGACAACTTGATTGTGCTCATGAACGGGAGATTTTAGCGAAATTAATTGAGAGTTCATCGTGGAACTAGCTGAGCTGGAAGCTGCTGCCACGAAGTATCAATTACATAAACCATCCCTTACTCATGAGTACATCAAAATATTCATCCCAAATGCTATGTCGTGTATAGCTACGGTCAGTGGAAGTCGTGTCTCTCGGGGCCAACCTTGTCCTCTATAAGGTTGGTCACGCATGGTAATGGAGGATAAGACGCGCTATATCAGGTAGATTATAAATCATGACGGTTCACCGCTGTCCCCCAAAGTCTAAGGTGTTGGCTGACAGTTCAATCCGCTGGTACGCATGGGCCGGATCATGATGGACGTCCACCCAACGAGTCGAAACGACCGTCTAGTGTACATGTTGAGTCTTGCAGTATCCACCGTGTCTCTGGATTGCGACACGCAATTTCGATTGAAGCCAGTTTGATTTGAAGTAAACCATTGCTATCGCATACGAAGTGGAATGTTTCGGAGCTGCTCCTTCCCAACACTGCGGGGTTGGGAGACAGCAGCTCTGAAACCTTCCATGGCCGTCCAGTGTCTTCTCGGGTGTGTGAAAGACTTTCTGATTTAAAAGGTGCAGCGATGAACTTTCAATTAAGTTGTTTGTTATGGACATCATGATGCCTACGTTAATTTGTCCTCCACGGTGCTAAATGGCTTTTCCCCCTGTTGTATAACGACCTATAAAAACACTGCCTCCCTTCTAGGAACCCGTGTTAAATTTGGTTTTCCCACACTTCTTTTAGTTACTTTATACAAGGGTAGAGCAAATTTCCGGCAGCACAAAATGTTTTGTTTTTGAAAACAAAACAAGCATCGTATTTTCACGAAACAATCCCTACCAGCATTCATGCACAAATCCACGCGCTCAAACCATGTGAAGAAGCAGTTAGACCCCGCCGAAGCGGGTGACCCTTTAAGCAGCTCAATAGGGACCTCTACTGCAGCTTCTGGAGACTCGTAGCGGATTCTACTTATCATGCGCTTGACATCTGGGAACACAAAATGTCACAGCGAACCAGGACTGGACTATAGGGTGGGTGGCCAACCTGCTGGATGCTTTCTCTAAGCAGAAAATCTACGACGGTATGGGACCTGTGTGCATGTGCGTTGTCATGGTGCAGCAAGGTCCCTAGGGTTCCAGTGCTTCGACGACTTCTGGCAAACAGTGGATGGCATACTGGTGAGTGTGCGTTGCCGTACGAGCTGTATAGCAGCCACATGACTGGTCTTGGCTACGAACACAGCCACTATCTGCTTGGCCACACTGCGCTCACGTCAGAATTTCTGAGGCGGTGCCACACCAACGGCCGTCCACTGAGCTGATTGTTGCTTAGTCTCTGGGTCGAAACTATACACACAGATCACATAATCACTGTGGACCTCCCAAACAGTATTAGAAAGTCCACCATCAAATCTGCAAGCCCGCTGCGGCACCAGTTCACCCGATCTGTTTTCTGGTCCTCACTGAGCTGATGGAATACCCAGCGTGCGCAAACTTTGCTGAGGCCGGAGTTCTCATGTAGGATGGTGCGGATTTATCCCGATGGTTTTCCCCAGCTGTATCACAGTCACCCGCGCGTCCTCCTCCAGCATCGCTTGTACAGCAGTAATGTTGCCCGTGGTGGTGGCCTCCACACCGTGCCTCATCGTTCAGGGACCGGCTGGGGCGTTTGTATGCCGCAAACCACTCAAACACAGTGGTTCTTAAAGACGCATTATAACCAAACGCAGCACGCAATCGCTTGACACTCTGGCGCTGCTTTAAAATACATTTGTAATCACAGAAAATCATCACCCTCCAGTGACATCAACTGAGTTTCATACATACAGTCAGAGTATAGCGACGTTTCTGACTTGTGAGCTGTGCTAGGCTGCTGATACAGGGTTCCGTGAGTTGAAATCGCGGAACAATTTTCAGAATGTATTAGAATTCACATTTTGCCTGCCGGGTCATCTGCATTTACTCTGTGTACTGAGCCTACGAAACGCACTGCTACACCCCTGGTCATGATACGCTTATTTGTTGGTCAAAGAAGGACGCTGCGACCATAAAAAGGTTCCAGTTCACCATTCGTTTGGTATTTCTGATTGATAAGAGCTTTCGATTCATCTGGTATGATAATCTAAATGTTGAGAATGACCTCTACGTGCGCAAAAATCCCGAGTTGACAGTACTGACGTTGCACGCTTAATTCAGCAGATACGTTCCCTCCAGTGACGGAACCGGTGAGGGAAACGTCGGCCGATTTGACCGTCCGCGGAACTGCCCTCATTCCTATGCGAATGTGGTGCCCAATGGTTTTCCTCTTGCAACTGGAATATGGGAGATTCACACCTTATTTATGCACAAAGTGGTGGCTGCTAATCATTGTGCGCCCCGGTAATTTTCTATTATTGAGAAGACAGTTGTCAAATCAAAAATAATTTACAAAGAACAAGTAAAAATAGGGGTAATTAAAAGGTAGCACAAAATCAGAGCACGGGGATCGACGGTTTGGGGCCTCATAATCGAAATAAGGGGTGAAAATTCACTTCGGGATGATAAGGCCACGCATCATATCCATTGAGTTTCCGTCCGGGTGTAGAGAATATTCCGCACCATTGACTGGGTCACGAACGCGAAGGTATCCAAACGAGTCCACACCGATCACAGTGCAATGCACAAGAGGAGTATCCTTTGACTTCAGGGACGGTGACGACTGAATGGTCAGTGATTGGTTCCTGTGTAGCATTAGAGCAAATTATAATGAGTGAGGTGAAGGCGAGTGAAACAAGCATAATGAATCAACAGAGGTCAGCGCTTCGTCACAGAGGCCAACCAATATACGTCCCTGCCAATCAAAAGTTATGAGAAATACAAGATCGTTGCTCAGTTTATCGTCACCGAACATAATTTTTTGCTTAGATGTGCAAGCTGAACTTTGGCCATCTCTCTCGATCAGACCAATACTTAAAGTGAACTCAAAATATTGAAGTCAAACAAGACCACTGCCTCGTGACATTATCATCGCCCATAGGAGTATGTGAGTGTATTGCACAGATGCATCGAGTTCATACAACAATGATGACCGAGGGAATAGGGGCAAATAAGGAGGATAGAAGAAGCTAGGGCAAAACTTTAAAAACCTAAGAAATATTTAGGAGTGGAGTCACTATACTCTGTCAACAAGCTAGGGTTACAAACAGCTGGTGAACGAGTGGAGACAACATGGGACCAGCGAGACGACTTGCTCGAAGGTTTCGCTGCTCCACGCCACAACAGACGTACAGATAACACATCATCACACACAGTTTAAACAATTAATCAGACTAGAAGGCGACTGCAGACGTGCCACTGGTGCCAGCTTAGAGTCAAGCAACTTCTCAAGCCAACTAATTGGGTTGTGTGGACTGGAGGATGATATGGGCCAATGACACCCACTTCGGACGTCGGTGGCCTCCTTCCAGCTGCAAAGTTGACTTTGGCCTCGTACCATCCAATGTCCGGTAAAGTAAACAGCGCATTCCTAGGTAAGCTGGCAGCGTGCATGCGGAGCAGGTAACAAATCCAACGCAACTTATAATATGTTAGTTGTAGTCCAAAAGAACTAACCAGAATAACATCGCCTAGTAGTCGTCTGTGCAAAATATTTGTGTAATTCGACACAAATAGTGCTCCCCAAACAACGATAACCAAAACTTAAAGGTGACTCAGGTCCCCAAAACGACGGGGCGACGCTTCAATATGGCACTGTATACACGGAATTTAGGACCGCGAGTAACGACCTTCTGGAGATAGCTAACAGACCGAAGAAAAAGGTATTAGCTTCTGAACTAGGGGAGATAATTGCAGCACACACACACATCGATAAAGATGGAATGGTGAAGAAAAGAGAATTGATCAACTATTCACGATTCACCGTCAGGAGACTAATGTGGCCACCAAAAGGGTGTGATCTTTTAATCATTTCTGCAAAATTATTAACACACACTTTCGGCACCCTTGAAGTGGCTGTGTTTTCACACATAGCAGAAAGTTTTGTGCCGATGACAAGCTATTGTACAACAAGTGAACAGCCTCCGGAATGTGAAGTATGGTGTTCCCCCCACTCATCCCAGTAAACGGACGTGCTCAAAGCGCCGAGGATGCAGCCAGCGCCATACGGCTACAATATGCTGCAATATCACGACGCGCCACTAGCATGTCACAAACCAGTCCAATTCACCCAGATGCCAGCATTTCTACACGTCACTTTCAGTTCAGCGACTGTTTTGAGAAAGCTGTTATCGTTGCGCATCCATAGTTCCTTAGGATTTGAAAAGATTCACCTGAAAGCACTGCAGGTGGCAGCTACGAGGATAGCTGAACCGTTAATCGGAATCTTTCAAAGATGTCTGGATGAATAGCAGGTTCCTAGCGTGCTGAACTAGAGTATCATTATTCCCATTTTCAAGGGAGCCCGCTAACAGTTACCTAGTGATTCGCCTCAGGGCACTCTCAAAGATGATGGAGTCGATCATAGTTGAGGCACTAACGAGCTATTTAGAAAGATCAAACATCACAGTCCCGGAGTAACACAGATTCTTTCAACATCGGTCATATACTAACAACCTACTGATAGTGAGTGGCAGTTGGACCGAAACAGCTGCTGTGGGACCGGAACTGATGTTATTTATATAGACTTTTTATTATAGATCTTTACTGTTTTGATCACCGAATACTTCCCAAAAAGCGTCAGATAAGAAACTGGAAACCCTGTCCTTGGAAGGATCAGAAGCTTCCTCCTTCAGTGGTGACTACCGGTTCGGGTTCGTGGCTCATTGTCCAATCCTATCAAACTGTCTCAAAAAGATAAGCGTCGTGGCCACGCTTGTTTTTGGTCGTCATAAACGACTGTTTTTGGCCGATGACATCAAGATATGGCGAGTGATCGGCAAACAGGAAGATAAGGATCTGCTGCAGCGAGACTTAAAAAGTGCTTTTGAATCGACAAACAGTAACGATTCTTCGGTGCCACGCTACCATCACCAGTCGCGCGTGGGCTGGGTATACCATGAGAACGTCCGCACGTACGCGTACTCGAACCTGCGACCCACGAAGTACAGAGCAGTGGCCTAATCCATCCGGCCACCAGCAGACTTTCGCCCCCCCCCCCCACCTAGTTTACCCCTGCCTCTGGATCGCTTCGTTTATAGGTGGCGAGGGCTGAAACAGTAAACTCAACGGTTTTCGATGAACCAGTGTTTAGAAACACTGTCAAAATACTCGGCTAGTTAGAACTATCAGGCCTGATTGACTGTGTCCTCGCCGTCATTTAAGGATAGTGGTGAGGGTGCCGCGAAGTATTGCCCCACCTGATAGTTGGGCTTTGGAGTACCCGACAGTGTGTCGGATTGCGGCACGCAATCTCAACTGTGCCGTTGGCTGACTTTGAAGTCAGCCCGTGCCATTCCGATCACTAGGACCGTATCCCACCGTGCCGTTAGTTCTGACCAATGGCATAGTACAGGAGCGTGAGAGTACTCAGACCTAAGGTCGGCATCGAGTGGTGCAGCGTGCAGTTTCTTGATATTCTGGCCAACGCAGAGGATAATCAACGGTGCCCTAACTGCTGCATCGAGCAGGGTGGATAGGGGTTTGGACACTACTATTCACACCTTCCCATCTTCTTATTACAGCTCTTACGATTTTCCTCCCTCATGGTTCCCTTCCAGCTTCACGTTCGTCCACCCAGTTTTAAAACCTCAAACACTTGGCCCTCCCCCAACAGGCCTTGCTAGGCTTTTACCTTCTAGTTTCACGTGTTAACGCGGAGCATCATTCCTGCCCTGTCAACAAGCCCATTGCCAACCAAGCAGCCAAGCCCAGTTCATCGGCTTCCAGTTGGAGCCCTCGATCCTCCTTCAGTTTGGCATGCCCCAATGTTCGCACATTGCTTCAGATCGGTCAACAGGCAGCACTTTCCCGAACATTAGAGACCCTCTCCATCGATATCTGCTGCTTATCGGAGACCCGCCTGCAAGACTCGAGCTCTGTGCTCACTCTGCGATCCCCTTCCGGTGACACCAGCAGCACTTTCTCATTGCGCCTATCCGGTGACGATTCATCTTCGAGTACGGGCCAAGCCGTTGTTGGTATTGCTCTGAGTCCCCGAGCTGAAACTACTCTGGTTGATTGGATTCCAATCAGTAGACGGATGTGTGCGGTCCGGTTGGCTGGCTCGTTCAAAGCTTCGAATCCGCACGGGACTAACAGGTGTCTATTCGTTACCGCTGCCTATACACTCACAAACTGTAGCGATGACTCGGTAAAAGACGACTTCTATCGCCAACTGACCGAACTCCTTCGCCAAAGAAGAAGCTCAGACACTGTAGTGCTGGTAGGGGATCTGAACGCTCAAGTTGGAAAAGTATGCACTGATAAACTGCAGCTTGGCGGCCAACATGGTGTAGGCTCCCGCGATGATAACGGTGAGCGGTTACTACATTTGTGTGTGAGGATGCTCACTTATTTCTTGCGAGCACTAATTTCCGACACAGCACCCACCGGAGAGTGACTTGGCGCCCACCAGTCTCGAACTAATCAAGGACGCAAATCGATCACATTGCAATAAGTTACCGGTGGATAGGCTGCGTCCAGAACTGTCGCTCGATTTGGAGCACAGGTGTGGACACCGACCATGCACTTGTATGTGCTGACCTGCGGATGCGCAATGGCGGACGCCCACGACGACGTGAGCGCATTGACACCAGCCAACTGGCGAAACCAGCTGTTCTGAATGCCTATCAAAATACGCTGTCATGCGAGTTGAGTAAGCGTTCACTGGAATCAATTGAAGCTCATTGGTCTCATATTCACCACACCTTACTAGCAGCAGGAAAATCCTAATGTGGGTCTCTTCACAGTCTCTGGAACTTTTCGATGCTCGCCGGCAGATTCCGGCTGGAAGCGAACACAATGAAACCCACAAAGAGCTCCGGGCAAAACTCCATGCTAGCCTGAAGAGAGACCGCGAGTCCTGATGATCTCATCTTGCTTCAGAGATGGAAATGTCAGCTGCCGCTGGTAACCATCGTAAGCAATTCCGGTTGATACGGGAAACAGGCAGCAGGAGACCTGGTGTCAGTAAAGCTATACGTGACAAAATTGGACATACTATGCACAACTTGCCAAAACGCTTGGAGCGTTAGGCTGAGCACTTTGAAAGGCAATTTAATCGGTCGGAATGGTTAGAATTCTCGCCGGCCACTGATAGCCCCGCTTCGTGGGCTGTCCCTTTGGATCCACCTTCTCGCTCAGAAGTCGAACGTGAGATCGCACTGTTGAAGTCAAATAAAGCCGCGGGACAAGATGACCTTCATCCAGTCCTCTTCAAATTCGGGTGACCTGCTCTTGTGCATGATTTACACGAGTTACTAGTGAAACTGTGGGAACAGGATACTGTCCCAACCGACTGCAGCCGCCCCGTCATAGTTCTAATTTTCTAGGGAGGCTCACGATCGGAGTGCAGCAACCATAGAGGAATCAGTCTTATCCCCATCGCCTCCAGATTGCTTGCCTCTGTCATCCTTCACAGACTGACTGGCACTCGTGAAAGCCGTATTCGTGTAGAGCGAGCAAGCCGGGTTTCGTCGAAGTCGTGGCTGCATTGACCACATCTTCACTTTGCGTCAGTTGTTGGAGCACCGTCAAATATATTGGCGGCCCACCGTTGTTGTGTTGCTCGATATCAAAGGTGCATTCGATTCGGTGGATAGACTTGCACTTTGGGACTGTCTACTCAGAAAAAGTGTGCCCAAGAAATATATGTAAATATTATCCGAGCATTATACGCGCGTAGCTCGGGCAGTGTGAGGGCTTACGGTGAGCTGTCGTCGCCCTTTAATATCTCCAACAATGTGAGACAAGGATGCGCGCTGTCACCTTTCCTCTTCAACTTCGCTATTGATGAAGTCATGGAAATCGCGTTTACAGGACACGATCTAGAAGGTGTGGATCTGCTCCCAGGAGAACGACTTCTTGACTTGGAGTATGCTGATGATATTGCCCTTCTCTGTGACAGTTCACAAACGTGCCAAGCTGCACTAGACAGATTAGCACTGGCTGTCTGTCACTTCGGGCTTTGCTTTGCACCCTCGACGTGTAAGGCGTTCCTCCAAGATTGGTCTGGACCGCCTCCTACGCTGACTCTTAGTGGGGATCAGCTAGAAGTCGTTCAAAAATTCAACTACCTGGGAAGTTGTATCAGCGCCCGTGGGATTGTAGATGAGATCACGAACCATATAGCAAAACCTTGAGGCGATTTTGCTAACCTTCGCCACCTATGGCGCCGGCGCGACATCACTCTTGCCCTGAAGGGTAGAGTGTACAATGCAGCGCGGTACGTTCAACCCTACTGTGCGGTTGTGAAACCTGGCCCCTTAGAGCAGCGGACCTGAAGAGGCTAGTTACGTTCGACCACCGGTGCATTCGCAAGTTAGCTCACATTTGGTGGGAACACCGCGTTAGCAACGAACGTGCTCGACGTCTTGTTTACGGCACAGGAAAAGGAAGTGAACCGCTCAGCACCGTTATTTCACGCACCAGGCCCCAAAAGCTCGTCTCCCTGTTACACATGCCAGCCTACCGACTCCCGCGAAGTGCATTGTTCGCGCGCCGGACATGTGGATGGAAGAGGAGAGGTGGTCAAGCGATGACTTGGTCGAAACTGGCCTCAGTTGGAGCGTCCCGGCTCCCTGGTTGAGGTCCGAAAGACGATGAACACGTTTCGCAGGATACACTTGTTGATATGGCTAGGAGCCGACCTCAGTGGCGTTCGTGCTGTGAGTTTCTTTGTCCCACCCCCTCCAACCACGATCTCATTATGTAGCATTTTATAATTTTGTATAGTAAATTACTTTCTTCTGTTGTATAGTGGCCGGCAGGTAGCTTATTGGAACGATGCCCATACGTTACCGGTAGCTCAGCTGGCTTGCACCAGTTGCATTTTTCTCCTTTTCTCTTCTATCTATTGCGGCACCGTAGCTGAGGTGTTTCCCACCTCTAGCTAAAGTGTATAGTGTGTGTGGTGCAGTGTGCTTGGTCCATGTATGCAACTTGTTAAATTCTGCTTTGGCGTGTCGCCCACCCCGCTCATCACGTGATTCACGCGCAGACGTCAAAACAACATGTGACCAAGCACATGACGTCGATGGATAGTTGGGAAAATATTTTTGTTCATCGCAATCAGCCGACAATTCAGATATGTCGACCAGCTGTCCGGAAAAGCACCAGACGGCCGTTTCGCCCTATTGGGGCTCATCAGTGGTGCGCATCCTTCGGTCCTCTGTGGAGGATCGAACCCATGACTGCTAGTGGCTCTTGCCAACTAGCCCGCAGCTTATGCAACTGCGCCATGGAGGACGGTATCTGACTATCGTGAATTGTTAGCTAAATGCGATATAGCCCGACGCATCCTCCACTGCCATGCAGGCACCTGCCATGCAGATGACAGCGGTCGGCCTTCCGGCGTCAGGACTTCCCGGTTACGGCAGCTATGAATCGACATAGCATTTTGTGGAATCCGTACGGGCGAATTGGTATTACTTGTGAATGGAAGGATTTTGGTGAGTATTTTTGTTCATCGCAATCAGCCGACAATTCAGATATGTCGACCAGCTGTCCGGAAAAGCACCAGACGGCCGTTTCGCCCTATTGGGGCTCATCAGTGGTGCGCATCCTCCACAGAGGACCGAAGGATGCGCACCACTGATGAGCCCCAATAGGGCGAAACGGCCGTCTGGTGCTTTTCCGGACAGCTGGTGGACATATCTGAATTGTCGGCTGATTGCGATGAACAAAAATACTCACCAAAATTCTTCCATTCACAAGTAATACCAATTCGCCCGTACGGATTCCACAAAATGCTATGTCGATTCATAGCTGCCGTAACCGGGAAGTCCTGACGCCGGAAGGCCGACCGCTGTCATCTGCATGGCAGGTGCCTGCATGGCAGTGGAGGATGCGTCGGGCTATATCGCATTTAGCTAACAATTCACGATAGTCAGATACCGTCCTCCATGGCGCAGTTGCATAAGCTGCGGGCTAGTTGGCAAGAGCCACTAGCAGTCATGGGTTCGATCCTCCACAGAGGACCGAAGGATGCGCACCACTGATGAGCCCCAATAGGGCGAAACGGCCGTCTGGTGCTTTTCCGGACAGCTGGTCGACATATCTGAATTGTCGGCTGATTGCGATGAACAAAAATACTCACCAAAATCCTTCCATTCACAAGTTGGGAAAATAATTTAGTTCACACCTGCTCACAGAACGGCAAGGCACACAACGCAGCTGGATGGTCGGAAAACTAACTCGATTCTTCATCCGCGTCTCCGCCGGAACTGACGTGAGTTCGACACTGAAACTCAGCAGCTATTGACTACACTAAGTTGGCTGCACACAAGCTAGCGGGCATGTTCGTCAACTTCGCGAGGTATGATCGATGCTTAGCGGCGCCTACGTGTCATGGTATGTGTATCTGTCTACGTGAAATAATCAGATACCATTGAGCAATGCGTACTGCACCAAAAGCACTGGCTAACGGGGGTGTGACCAAATTACGTGTTAACTGCTGTCGAATGTAGCATGATCGGCCTTAATGATGAGGTGACCATCAGCATATGCACCGCAATGCACGATGTACTGCGGTGAGCTTTGCGGAAGGGTACCGTGTCAATTGTGATACGGTTAACGGGTTAGCAACAGCTTGCATGTATTGCTCTGTATGCAGTTGTCAGTCTATTGCAGCCGTTGACAGGGTGAACGAATACGTTTGTAAAAAAAACCCTTGAGTTGGTGTGAAACGAAGGATGAAACGATGGTCTACCTCCACGTCAGCGCGCTCTTCATCAATGTGCGACGCATTGGAGATAGTGAAGCGCTGTTTGATTGAAGAGCAGTCAAAGCTTAAGGTGGTTGAAACAACCGAGAGAAAGGCATTGCGTCATGTCTTGCTTGAACTCGAGTTTCAATCGGAACGACACCCAGGAACATAGTGCTAACATGAGATCGTGAATGTCCACTATTTTGTACATGATACTGGCAAACACCAGTAAATGGTCAAAAGTTGTTGGTGCCAAGTGCGTGAATATAAAAGTGGCTGAAAAAAATTAGTTTGTGAGGTATGTGAAATCACTCACCATGGAGTGGCACATTGTCATTCCTTGAGTGCTCTGTTCACGGGAATGGTCAGCTTACAAACCGATATTTCATCAACCGGCGCACACAGATGGGGCACAGCACTATAGTTCCGGTCATCCACAGCATGTGTATGTTGAGAGCGCTTTATCTGTTTCACAAAGCCAAGACCCTGTGCACAGGGGGATGAAGTTGGGAACGCCGCTTGGACGTAGAGAGTGATGTAATTGCTGAAGTGTGGACGCTCGAAACCGTTTCACAATATTCTAAAACTACATTGGAAATATACAAGGGATGGACTGGGGCGATAAGAAGATCATAGGTAGAAGGAACTTCGTTTTGCTTTCAGACGGCACTAACCAATGAATAATATTCGGGATCTGTTCAACACTGATCTACCTGAAGGACGCACTTCCCGTAGGTAAGATGACTAAGTGCGCTCATAAACGTATCCGCAACAACTGTGAACATGTGTACATAGGCCACACCGTGAGCAAACTGCACACAACGCTGGTAGAAAACATGAAGCACATGTCACGGATACCGAGGTACGAGTCTGAAAATAAGGTTCTACTGTGAGATTCAGCGGTAGCGACGCACGCGTTAGGTACAGTGTATGAGATTGACCCAGATATGGTGGTGATAATTAGGCGGGAGTTTTGGTCAACACTAAAAATTTCGCTGATCCAGTGTGCATCGCCAAAGCCAATGATTATATAGACAGATTTGATGAAGTGGAGCTATCGAAGGTGTGGCAGCTTGATCAAACCGACCGGCAGGTCATGCATGCAAGTCTCGTACTCCGCAGACACAGATCGAAGTTTGGCGTATGTGAACCGATGGTGTGCATCCGTTCACACGTGACTTAAACTGTGCGGCCAAATTTAGCAACACGTCATGCCCTGGTTACATCGTTCGCACGTGCTCACCTGTGGCCACGGTACGCGGCCACTTTCTTGTCAATACACCATATTTCTCTTAAAGTAGGCGTTTTTCAAATCAAACTGCCGAAGCTAGTATGAAAGAATAGGGCGTGCGCCGAGATGTCGATAGCGTAAGGCTATGTTAGGCCGCGATGGTCAAGGCATTGTTGACACGGTTTAGCTTATAGTGACACTTGTTGAGAGTTATTCTTAACCTCCTGAGAGTGTTGAAGACATCATCATCATCATTACACGTTAGCTGGAGGTGGAATACACCTCAGAATTGTGCCGCAATACAAAAGACAAGAAAAGGAAAACAAACGGTGACACGCCCGCTGAGTCCCCAGTAACGGATGGACATCGTTCCGGAGAGCTAACAGCTGGCTGCCGTAAAAAGAGAATCATATTATGCCTAACAGATGAGATCGTGATTGGAGGGGGATACTAAACAGGAGGGGGATGGGCAAAGGAAATCACAACACAAACGCCGTTGGGGCCGGCTCCGAGCCATATCAGCAAGTGTGTCCAACCAAACGTGTTCACCGTCCTTAGGACCCCAGCCAGGCAGTCGGGATGCACCAACCGACGCCAACTTTGAAGTGAGGGTTTTCATTTCTCTCGACCAAGTCATCACTTGGCCTCCCCTCCTCCTCTTCCAACCGCTCCCACAACGCGCAAACAATGCACGTCGCGGGAGTCGGTGTGCTGGCATGCGCAACACGTGGCCCAGCCATCGGAGCCTGGTGCGTGATATAATCGTGCTGAGCGGTTCACTCGCTCTGCCTGCACCAAATACGCGACGTCGAACACGCTCATTGCCCACGCGGTGTTCACACCAGACATGAGCTAAGCTGCGAAGGCAGCGATGATCGAATGTGACGAGTCTCTTCATGTCAGTCGACCTGATGGTCCAGGTTTCACAACCATATAAGAGAGTGGAACGGACGGCTGCGTTGTAAACTCTGCCTTTCAGGGCGAGAGTAATGTCGCGTCTGCGCCACAGGTGGCGGAGATTGGCAAAAGCACCTCGAGCTTTTGCTATGCGGTTCGTAACCTCATCTTCAATCCCACGGGTGCTAATATAGCTGCCCAGGTACTTGAATTCCTGAACGACTTCTAGCAGATCACCACCAAGCGTTAGCGCAGGGTTGGGTCCCTGCCAATCTTGGAGAAGTACTTTGCATTTCGATGGAGCAAAGCATAGCCCAAAACGATTGACAGCCAGTGCTAATCGGTCCAGTGCTCTTTGGCATGTTTGGAGGCTGTCACAGATTAGGGCAATATCGTCCGCATACTCCAAGTCAAGAAGTCGCTCACCAGGAAGTAGCTCCACACCATCTAGGTCGTGTCCAGCGAACGCTGTTTCCATGACTTCATCAATAGCGAAGTTGAAGAGAAAAGGTGACAGCGGGCATCATTGTCTCACACCGCTGGTGATACTGAAGGGTGGCGAGAGTTTGCCATGAACCCACACCCTGCCCGAACTATGCGTGTACAGTGCTTTGATAATGTTTACATATTTATCAGGCACACCTTTCCTCAGCAGACAGTCCCAAAGGGCACATCGATCGACCGAATCGAAGGCACCTTTTATGTCAAGAAACACGACAACGGTGGGTCGCCAATAAACATGGCGGTGCTCCAACACTTGACGCAATGTGAAGATGTGGTCGATGCAGCCCCGACCTCGACGAAATCCGGCTTGCTCTTCACGAATCTGGCTTTCACGAGTGCCAGTCAGTCTGTGGAGAATGACAGAGGCAAGCAATTTAGAGGCAATCGAAATCAGACTGATCCCTCTATGATTGCCGCATTCCAAACGAGAGCCTCCCTTGAAAATTGGGACAATGACGGAGCGGTTCCAGTCTGTCGGGACTGTCTCCTGCTCCCAAAGTTTTACTAGCAACTCGTGTAGATCATCTACTAGAGCAGGTCCCCCGAATTTGAAGAGGGCTGGGGGACAGCAGAAGACAGCAGATAAGGAGTGGTGAGTCCCGATCTCGCCCAGCCTTTGTTGCAGCTGCACCAGAGTGTCTTCGGAATGCCGTTCAGCGGTTTCCTCAACGCACTGTAGGACCTCGGGAGCCAGCTTTTCTATGTTGTTTCTTCCACATCTGCGTTGAGTGGACATGCCTTCTCTCCTGTAGACAATGATGATGCTCCTTGCCGTGCTTTCGTTGATATCGGCGACTTCAGCAGCTTCGTGGGTGGTTTTGCCGTCGACGAACACAAGCTTGGTGAGGATCCCTTTCTGTGTCATTGATGTTCGCTTGTACCACCTCGGACTCGGAGATGTGTTCGCTCTCATTTTGATCGTTTCGTGCAGCACAAAGTTAATAAGGCTATGTTGTGTTTGGTGGAGTCATGATAGCCTGCACTGATCCAATAATCGAACAGCTGAATAAGTTCGCCCACATACCCACATAAAATACACGGACACCCATAGGGTGACAGGCAAACTTTGTCCCCGATTTTTTCGAGGTGAATAGCGCCAATAATAAAGAGGAGGACTTGCACCACTGCTTGCACAGTTCTTTGTATTCACATAGCCAAAATGAGACCGGAACATCGTCCAGTCGTCTTAACCCCCTGCCCTTGATAACAAACTGCAACATTAGGCCAGTAAAGCTAGACTGATTTCGGTGGATTCATGATAGCCTACACTGTTCCAATAACTGCACTGCATAGGTTTGCCAAAAAACGCGAAGGCCCATAAAGCGACAGGGGACAACTGGATTACCGACTTTCTCGAGGTGAACGACGCCAATGATCAAGAGCAGGGCTTGCACAATCGCCCACATGCACAGTCCTGTTGCATTCGCGTGACCACACTGTGGTCTGAACATCGTCCAGTTGTCTTACTCCCATTTCTTTGATAACGACTTGCAACAGTAGGCCAATAAAGTTAGACGGTCTGGTGGAGTCATGACAGCCTGCACTGATCCAATAAGCCAGCAGCTGAATAGGTTCGTTCACACACTCACACATAATATGCCAAGACCCTAGAGTGACGGAAGACAACTAGGTCGCCGCCTATCTGCTTCATCAGTTATGGTCTAAGTGGTCGAATTGGCCAAGATTTACTTCAGTGGGAATCGCGGTCCACATTGCGATTGCGCACCACAATCCATTCACAAAACGCGTGCTCCATAATAACCCTCTAAATTTAGGCAACAGTTATTTAAGATATAATAGACTATGCCGGTTTGACTTTCCAATGACCACATAGCTACATGGTTGGCGGCATCCGGTTTCGGATTTGCCTGTCACTGTGGCAAGCCACAGGACGCCTGCGCCTACAGAGGGACCATGGATGGCTTGCGCTGCACCACCCATAGCTACATAGGTCCATGCGTAAAGCCATAGGCACATAAAATACGCGAGGACCGACGGAAAGAGAGGGGATACTCAGTCACCGCCATTAATCGATGTTCACGATCAAGGGAAGGGTTTACAGTGGCACACGCTGCTTACACAATTCTGTTGCATTAGAATGACTACAATGTAGTCTGAACATAGTTCAGTCACCTCATTTCTTGCAAGCGAATTGCTGACTTTCTGCTTAAAATGCAACGTGTCTAAAGTGGTTTGCAAAATATCCAATTTGTTTTGTAAAACGTCCAATTTAAAGTGAAAATGGTGTATATCGCGGAATGACCGGAGCCCATGGAAAACTGCCAGCCGATTCCGCTTTATCCACACAAAATAGTCATTCGTTTGCAACCACAAGATGTCAATAAGGTGCAGGCTAGGAGGGTACGGTTTCTCGAGCGCAGGCCAATGGAGCTAGTGAATCGTGATCACTCAATAATCTACCCCCGAACTAGCTGAGCCCAAGATCAAATCCAGCTGATGCCCAACGGTCACACCGGAAAGATATAGATCTGAAATCAGCGCCCATAAGCGATCGAACGATAACCAGCACAGCCTGTACAGTATAAGTTACTTCATTTCTGGTTCATGTTTTAGTTTGGAATAAAACCTAACAGAGTCCGGCACAACAGAAGCATGCCCAAGGTGCCTGTTTAGAGTATTTCATCACAATCATCATTATACACTTTAGCTAGAGGTGGGAAAAACCTCAGCTACGGTGCCGCAATAGATAGAAGAAAAAAGAAAAAAAATGCAACTGGTGCAAGCCAGCTGAGCTACCGGTAACGTATGGGCATCGTTCCAATAAGCTACCTGCCGGCCACTATACAACAGAAGAAAGTAATTTACTATACAAAATTATAAAATGCTACATAAT